CACCGATCGAGATGCAAATTGATCGTCCAATTAGGATTGCGCACGTTGGAATAGTGGATATTTTGTATGTAACATACTGGAATTTTTCGCATCAACGACCTCCAGTCAGTTTGCGTTAATTTACTTGCAAATTCGGTGGCGGGAGGTGCAGTTGTTTTACCTTGCACTTTATGACGCTCGTACGTGCCGTCTTGAACGTCGACAGGCAGCGTTCTCGCAAACAAAACGTTCGAACTCGCTAATTGCATTCGCGGCGCAACTGCAATATATCATCATAATTGATGTAAGCGATAGTTCTTATTCTTTGATCATACTCAAACATTTTGCAGTGACGTGCGCGAAATGTTTTAAGTCTCATCATTTGAATCATTCCTTCTCTACTAGTGTTTATAATTAATCATAAAAATATAAGAATTCAAATTTTGAAACTTGCATGCCCTTGAATTCGCATCTTTTGTAAAATATGACTATTAATCTTAGATAAGGAGTTTGTAGATAAAAAAGTAAATTTTTAGAATTCATTTTTTGTATGATCCCAGACAGCACAAGGATGTCCTTAGGACGTCCAAAGGGCATCCAGGACATACATGTAGGATATCCTGAGGATATCCTATTTTAATCCTCGGATCTCCTCTGGATGTCCTGAGGAAGAATAAATGATAGCCGTACACTAGCCTCTAGAGAATCCAGGGAGATCCTGTGGAACACCTTAAGGATTTCTATAGGATATGTTAGGGATATTTTTCACACGTTAAAAAGAACAAATTCTAAAATTTAAATATAAATTAAGATTGCGTTCTGTTATTTACTGCCAATACTAAAAATCTAATACTAAAAATAGTTCACGTTCTTTAATATTTGAGGTTTTCGTGCTGTACATAAATATTTTAGGTTTATGTGTAATATTTTCAAAACAATCCAATATCTGAATCTGAATTCCCTATGTTGGGATTGCATCAGAAAAATTGAACTGATAAAGACACGGGACGCAAAAAAAAAAAAAAAAAAGCCGCGAAGATATAGACATCGCGATTCATGTGGTATCCTCGGCCGCGATTCCTGCAATTAATCGTCTTGTATATTCTCTATCCAACTCCCATTTAAAGTCTAATTCGAATGATATATTAAAATATAGAATTTAATTTCATTAGAAAAATTTCTGGAGGAAATTTAAATCTTTTATCAGATTTATAATTTTCTAGTTTATAAATTACTAAATATTTAAATTGGTTCAAAATAGCATTGGTTTTTTGTGAAAATCGATCGATTTATTATTACAATATATTATTGTCGAATCTAATATTATATAATACGTTATTGCATAACGTTGCGCTGGTGCTGAAATTTCAAGTCACCGATCGAGATGCAAATTGATCGTCCAATTAGGATTGCGCACGTTGGAATAGTGGATATTTTGTATGCAACATACTGGAATTTTTCGCATCAACGACCTCCAGTCAGTTTGCGTTAATTTACTTGCAAATTCGGTGGCGGGAGGTGCAGTTGTTTTACCTTGCACTTTATGACGCTCGTACGTGCCGTCTTGAACGTCGACAGGCAGCGTTCTCGCAAACAAAACGTTCGAACTCGCTAATTGCATTCGCGGCGCAACTGCAATATATCATCATAATTGATGTAAGCGATAGTTCTTATTCTTTGATCATACTCAAACATTTTGCAGTGACGTGCGCGAAATGTTTTAAGTCTCATCATTTGAATCATTCCTTCTCTACTAGTGTTTATAATTAATCATAAAAATATAAGAATTCAAATTTTGAAACTTGCATGCCCTTGAATTCGCATCTTTTGTAAAATATGACTATTAATCTTAGATAAGGAGTTTGTAGATAAAAAAGTAAATTTTTAGAATTCATTTTTTGTATGATCCCAGACAGCACAAGGATGTCCTTAGGACGTCCAAAGGGCATCCAGGACATACTCTTCCTTCATAACGGAAAAGAGATATTTAACGCGCGCATATATCTACTTGTCTGTTATTATTGTACTATCTGCAGAGAAAATGATGTATCGCGTTAATGCACAATTCATAATTTTTCACGGTTGATATAATACAATGTATTATATTTATATTTTTTTGGGGGGGGGATGTTAGATTCTCCGCGCACGCGTTATCTGACGAATTCGACCGTTACAACCGCAAAATTGGTCCTTGGGCAGCGACTGAAGGGAGGTGAAACAAAATCACTTACCAGCGAAGCTTTGCGAGCACCTGTCCTGAATTGCCGGGAACAAGCTCTTTTAGTGCATCTCTGGTCGCGCAGCTGCACTTGCCATGATTTTCCTTAATCGCCGGATTCTGCAAGGTTTTTGTACCCCTTTGTGGTGTAGCCAAGGGACAGAAACATGTCGCCATTAATTCTCTAGATTTCTTGTTGCAAAAGTCAAAACGTTTTTTTTTTTTTTCTTTGAATCTTTACGAATAGTGCGAAAAAGAAAGTAATGTAAAAAAAACATAAAATGCAAGTGTTTATATATTCAGATAATAATTTATAATAAAGGATGATATACAAGTCGTGTAAAATGATAAGACGTTTTAACGAAATCATTTTTAAACAGAGCTTGAAAGGAAAAATCACATCTTGAAAACAGTAAAAATGGTACTAATTTAAAAAATTATTTGGACAAGGATGTGGGAAGAGAGAAAATAAACATCACTTTATAGATAGATCCTTTTTTTAATAAACAATTGGAGAGACAATTCACTTATGTTAGTTAGTTAGTTTTTTAGACTCTCTTATAGTTACAATTTTTTATATAATTATACATTATATATATCTCTATATAATATTGTCGTTACACATATATCATTTTATATCGCGGAGTATCGACTGAATGTGAGACATGATTCACCGGGTATTCTTTCTCTTTTTCTGCTCTCTCTCTCTCTTCTCATTTCATTCTTTTTCATTCTTCTCTTCTTCATTTCATCCTTTCATTCTTTGCGATACGCATACATACAACACGCGCACACACAAACGCACGCACGCACGCACGCACTCACTCACAAAGTACCACAAATCATCGATTCTTATCCGTGATTCCTAATTTTTATATTTTATAACGTGACAATTTTTCAAATATCCGTCACAACTCCTTGCTCTATCGCATATACATATATATCATTTAATTATCATAGATAAGAAGTACACGCTAAGTTATGTTTACTGAGATCATACTAATACATCACAGGGTTACATAGACACAAGATTTTTCTCTCTTTATTATTTTTTCCGAGTTTTCTTCACACAGCAGGCACCAAGCGTCGCGACTTTCTCAGATCTTACGAGATTCCAAAATTTCTAGGTCTTTTCTGTTTTTAATCCGGCGATGGCATCTTTGTATACAAAAGATTTTTCATTTTATTTTTTATTTTAATGTCACCAAAAATGACATTGCTCGCTAGAATTAAAATGTGACCAGACTGATTATTTCTTACTATTGTCACTTTTTCGTGAAATGAAAAATATCAAATACGTTACACATATCCCACGGTACCATTGCCACATTAATTTGCTTTCTTTTGACGGTTGTTGTATTTATGTCGAAATCGCGAAGTGCCATATCTGCCACGAACGTATATCAATGATAATTATTATTCAACTTTCGACTGCTATATGAATTTTGTGAAAATCTGAACTTTTTGTTCCGTACGGAGGGAAATAAATATTGCGATCAACGCGTATCTTTAAATTTGATTTATGAAGAGAGAGGGAGAGGGAGAGAAAGAAAGAAAGAGAGAGAGAGAGAGAGAGAGAGAGAGAGAGAGAGGAGAGGAAAAAGAGAGGAGAGAGAGATTTATATTTTTCAACTCTTTCC